AATTGTTTGTGGCAATACGCCAATACGTGTCAAGCTTCCCTTTGAGCATCAAAAAAGTAGTCATTAACTAGTTTCTTAGCCTGAAATTAACAATGCGTGATCAATCCTGCCAAATGTAAAAGCAAAATTTTATTTTCAATTCTTGCAGATACAATTTAAGGGAAAGACTGTTGCCCTACCCTTTAACTTTGATATTCTCAAATGGGCTACTGGTACTCGCAAAGTAATTGATAACGCAAGACTACCAGATGGAGTCTCCTTCTATAATATTTATGGAATATTACTGGATACACCTTTTGATGTATGGTATGTTCTGAACTAGTGTATGAGTTGCTTCTCATCCAATCAAAATGTTCAATCTTGAGTAAAATAATTTAATCCTGTTTGATAACGATTTCTTTTTTATTTTATTTTTCTAAGAACCATGCGTACTTTCTTGCAATTTCTTAAGTATTTTTATCACATTTCTTAAAAACATCTTTGAATTCTTCGCTAAATTTTAAAGTCAAAATACTACATTTTAAAAGATACTTTTGTTTTTAATTTTCAAAATTTAGCTTAGATTTTTAAAACGTTTTAGAAAAATGTAGATAACAAAACAAAGAAAACACATAGGCGGAGTAGTGTTTATAAGCTTATTTTTCAAAAACAGGAAACTAAAAACTAAATGGTTATCAAATGGAATAGTGGCCAATTTTTTTTTATTTTGGGATAAGAAATGATATTTTCATTCAGAAAAAGAACATAAATGTTCAACGATACAAACTCTCGAAGGAGTGAAAGCAAAGAAAAGAAACAAACACCAAAAAATAGAGCAAGACAAGTCAACATGAGCTTAGCTCTACGATTAAGGTATCTAACTCCTTCCCTTGAGGTCGAAGGTTCGATCCCCGTCCCTACAATTGTTGTATTAAAAAGAAAATAGAGCAAGACAAAAAATTAAGGGAGTTACCAATTTGAACAAATCAAACAATTATCAAACAAATGATATAATACTTATTAGTGACCACATGATATAAAATATCATTACAATGATAAATGATGTATGGGTCAATTTGTAGTAATTCAAAGGCATGACTGTTTTCTCATTGCTTTGCCTAATTTAAGATGCCAATTCATTGATGTTGACGCCTCGGTTTCTAAGTAACTGACACATGATATTTATCTATGGTGCAGCTATGGCTCAGAGACAATGCCGATTGAGGACTTGTCTGAGATATGTAAAACTTTGGTGAGTGATTCAATTTCGTTTCTAAATCATTCAGGAAACTAGACTCAGCCTATTCGAATATTTGGGATGAAACTTTAATTTGAATACTGTTAGTGGGGGAGGGAATGAGACCTCTCGAAAATTCTCTGAGGCTTTGCCTTTGAACTGAATTTTAGAAATTCTGAATGCATTGGTCTGCTGAAGGATTTAAAAGCTTCTGGATATTTGAAATATAAGGTGGCCAATATTCTGACTGCGTATCAATATTCTCAATGATATACAAGAATTTAAAGGCACCTCAATTCTGCTGGGCTTAAGTTAATAGTTTTTTCTCATTTTCTGATTTATTCTGATCTTGTTTAATAAGTAGATATGATCAGGTCCAAATAAGCAATAACTAATTATATGAGATATATAACTTAATTGTTCGTATCTTGTTCAAAAAATAGGACATATAACTTAATTAATAATATTAATAATACTAAATCTTCAGGGACAATAAGTCATCTGGGATATAAGTTTACTTGAGTGCTGGCTTAGAATTTGAACAATGGGACTGCATCCTCTCATTATCCTGCGAGAGACTTTGTTTATGATTGAATCATAAATATAAATGAAAATATCAATCATTTATTTATCTTGTTACAACATCAATCATAAAATATAAGCTTCATCTTCGAAAGTGGTCAATAGAGAAATTGATATATATTAGATTGATTTTTGTCTTTAAGAAAAGTTCAAACACTAAGACCCTGTTGGATTAAACATTTTTCTTTTGGTTGAAAATTAAGCATACAACCACTACTTCTACCCATGTATTTCATTATTTTGTTATCTATTTTGTAAACATTGTTTTTATAGTCAAAACCAAAATTTGAAAACTAAAAACTGGTTGAGGTTGTTTTTTTTCAAGGCTCTTTGCAGATTTTCCAGAAAGTGCATTTTTCTTCTTGTTTGCTTGGTTCACTATGGAGTTTCGATCGGGGTTTTCTGAAGAAGTCTTCGTTTTACCCCTCAAGCTTTTATCAATCCTCTCTCCTTCCCATTTGGAGTCCTTTTTTGTCCTCTCTTGATAAGAAGCTTGTCAGAATTTGAGAGGAAGCTCTCTTAGGTTAAATTATTTTTTCTTAAGAAGTGGATTACTTTGTTTAAAGAGTATTTGGATGAGTTCAAGCTTGTGTTTGAGGAGTCTTCTTCTTCGGATCCTTCTCTGCAGTAGGTTTTGATGTTTTTTTGGTTCTCCAAGCTTTGTTGGCTGCAGTTTTCAGGGTTCTTCAGTGGAGGCTGTCGGGTTTTAATATTCTTTATCTATTCTCTTGTTTGTATTGCTCTGGTTCAGCTTGTTTTTCGTTCCTTTTGTTTCTTTTTCCCTCTCTCACCCTCTGTGGGTTTCAACTTCAAGGGTATGTATCCTGGGCAATTTTCCTCTTCATATACCAATGAAAAATTACTTTTTGTTTAAAAAAAAGAAATTTGGGTGAGAATTCAAATGTTTTTATAAGAAAGTGATTAGAATGCCTTTGGGGTAATTAGAGTTATTAATAGAATAGTAAAGGTATATTAGTAATTAGTTAAAAAATTGGTTAGTAGGATTTTAATATATATATATATATATATTTTTTTTTTTTTCTTCTTTTTTGAAAGGAAATGATTTCATTGATAGAATGAAATATGAGAAACAAAATTAGAGTTGTTATAAGTAGAGGGAGGGAGAAATGACGAAGACATGCAATTGTTTAGTGTGGTCTACGCTTGAGCGATCTGAAGAGGAAAGGGTCCAAGTACCCTTGAATTACTTGGGGATTATTGTAATCCTTTTATCCTTCTATCTTTCCATCTATTTTAGCTATTTTGGATTCCAAAAAAAATTGAAAAATATACCAGGAATGGAACGAGACATAATTGTAAAAAACCATAAACTTCAAATTTTTATAAGCGAATGACGAGTGAATGTTCTTTCCATCATAGTCGTTTCTTTCAAATGGAATGATATTGTTGGAGTCCTTTTTGTGTTTCTATTTTTCTATTTATTTATTCTTTAACTTGTTACCTTTTCTCTACACAGAAGGTTGAAAGGCTTCATTAATTTATCCAAATTTGATAAACCAAATAAAATTTTTAAAATATGTGATAATAATGAGTTTTGCTTGGGCACCTTTGAAGAATATGATATTCTTTATCATGTATATTACTAACTACCATTTTACGCACTTGTTCCATAAATGGCTAACTACTTTTCATGTCTTTTTCTTTTTCTTCTTTTCTCCCCAGCCTGTGTACTCATATGTGGACGGAGATGGTACAGTTCCCAGTGAATCAGCCAAGGTGAGCTATCTAACTATTTCAGTTTAATTATTCATTTAACTGAATAGTCTAGCATAATATTGAAATGTACATATATATGAATTAAGTTTACTCAACCCATCAGCTTAAGTTTTTGGATTGACCGGTGGTTTATTCATCATTAACACATAAAATTAAAAAACAAGATTTATTAAGTTGCATGAGAACAGTGTGGTATTGCAATTTCCAAGAGTAATTTTGCTTCCTTGAGAATACTACTGTTTTGTCTATTTTTCAGTACACCAAAACAGTTATGATATAGATGGTTAGTTTTGTTATGATATAAGTCTTATTGCCATAGAAATAAGAAATTATTTTGTGATTACAACCTCTCCACAATCATTCAGGACCGGGGAGTGTTTCTTTGATAGTTTTGTGGAAAGAGCCTCCTTGGGCCTTATCCTTAGGCTGTTATTTTGTCGTCTTTTATAGAATAGTAATATTATGAGGGAGGTATTGGGCACACTCCAATACAACAAAAGGGAACAATAAAAGACAATAAAGATTAAATATTAACGACTAATATTTGACCTATTATGCTTACAAATGCAATATCAGGTCACGTATAAGACATAAATTTATATTCCAACAAGTCTCTAGTATCGTTCTTCGTCCTTCATGTCTTCTGTGTTTGCTGCTCATAATTTCAAATTAGGGTTGATTGGGGTTTCTGCACACTGCAACCAAGTTATCCTCTTTCTCCAAGCAAGTCCAAGACATATTTTCTTTTATTAACAAAAATACCTTTATTTGATCTCGCGAATTCCATCTCTAGGTAATATTTCAACGTTGACGAGTCCTTGATTTGAAACTCACTTGCAAGATTTTCTTGAGATCAGGTAGACTTGTTTCATCATCATCAATGAGAATAATATCAACTACATAGATAATCAAAATTGAGATTTTATTATTCTCATAGTGTCTTAAATATAATATAGTCAACTTATCTCTAAAGAAATCCATAGACATCGTTGGAACCAAGATCTCGGAATCTGTTTGAGGCCATAGAGGCCATAGAGAGACTTCTCTGATCTGCATATTTAATTAATTACATATGAGTTCCTTTTCAAAACCTGGTGGTAAGCTTATGAAAAACAATCCCTCAAAATCACCACTGAGAAAAACATTTTTCACACCATGTTGGTAAAGAGGTCATTGCAAATTAGTTGCGAGAGACTATGATAGAGTTAATTTTAGCAACATGAGCAAAATTTTCTTAATAATCAATTCCATAGGTCTGAGTGAAGCCTTTAGCTATTAGTCTGACTTTGTATCCTCAATACTACTATCTACTTTGAATACCATTTACATCCCGTAGGTTTCTTATCTGTTGGCAATTGTTATTTCCCAAGTACTATTTTACTTTAGAGCATTCATCTCTTTCATAAGTGCTACTTTTCAATTTGGATCTTTTAAAGCGTCACGTATATTCCTTGGAACAAACAAATCCGTTATCCCTAGATGTGAAAGCTTTATGAGTATTTGATAAGTTTTGGCATGAAATGTAGTTTGCAATGGGATATTTTGTACAACTTCGAATACATCTAATGGCTACGAGAACATCCCGATCAAACAATTCGGTTCAGTTTCATTTTTTGGAGTCTCAAATATTGTGATAGAACAACTATTTGATCTTGGTTCCTTTGTTTGAAATTTTTTCTAGTATTAAACTTAAAATGAGGAACAAGATTAGTAGTTCTGTAGTATTTCTTCCCTTATGAAAAGTTTCTATACTTGGTATCGAAGAACAAGTAAAATCATAACAAATAGGACTACGAGGAGGAACAAAAATATTCTAAAAGTTATCTTCCAAATTCATTTCCTCCGAAGAGAATTTACGGTAAAATATGGCTGATTGTCTAAAACGGCACATTTATACTAACAATTTTTTTAATCAAAATATTGATAACCCTGTTGACTTGGAGCATAACTCAAAAAAAATACATTTAATAGCATGAGGATCAAGTTTTGTCCTAAAGGGACTAGATTTGTGAACATAAGGGGTTCACCCGTGGATATTGGAAAAATATCTTCAAACTAAATGAGAGTTACGAAATTTACTAGGTATTCAATTATTTAGGTAGGCATTGTGAGAACTGCTTCCCCATAAATATTTTTGAACATGCATGGAAAACTATTTTTTTAATCTCATTCTCTTAAGGAATATCTTGACAAGTAGATTGATGAACAATACATTTTTAAAAAATTTCATTGAAATACTCTGTTCCATTATTAAACTGTAAGATGCTAAGTTTAGTTTGAAATTGGGTTTCGATGGTATAAGCGTTCAAAAATTGTCTTTTACCTTAGAATTTTTTCGACATTAAATAAACTCAAGATATACGAGTATGGTCATCAGTGAAGGTAACAAACTATCTTTTTCCACTATGCGTACTAATTTTAGAAGCACCCTAAAAGTTGTTCTTCATCTTTGTTTATTGTTGTGAAGGCGGATGGTTTTCCAGCTGTTGAGAGAGCGGGAGTTGCAGCGAGTCATCGGGAACTTCTTAAGGACGCAACGGTTTTTCAACTTATCCAGAAGTGGTTGGGAGTTGATCAGAAGGTCAATAAACACCTAACAACTTCCAAAGTGGTTGATGCTTCTCTCATGTAGAAGTAGCATTTAGAAAAACACAAACATTTTTAAAGGAAGGTAGAGGAACCCTTTCCATTCCTTATGAGGTTCTAATATACTGTGACAATGTCTCATAATGAAAACTTGAACTTGATTGTGTAATTTATAGTATTTTAAGCAGGAATTGTCAAATCTATACTATCTATGAAACTATTTATAATTATATACTTTTCTGTTATTTTACTATTTTTTATTATATTTTCTCTCCCAATTTCCCCCTAATTTAATTTTATTCTGATTGGCTGGACTTTGGATATTAGAAGTTATTTTCTTTCTGTTTATCTAATTTAATCGTATTCTGTTATATTTGTTTAATCTGAATTTTATATCTATTAGACATAGTAATCGATTTAATTTATTTGTTATAGGGTTATTTATTTTCCAAAAATATGTAGCAAAACATTTTCAGTTTTTCTTATTTCTTTTCTTTATCACGTTTGGTATTTATTTTTTTCTCCATTATTGTTTACATTTTTTAATTGTAACCCTTCTTATGTTTCCGTCTCCTCCTACATTTGTCTTCAGAATACTGATATCCCTTCGCCAATTTCACTTGTCGCCCGTCAATAGTTCCTTCATGGCATATCCATCAACTTTGATTGTATCTCCATGTGAGTTTTGTAGCAAAAAACAAAAAAGAGTAAGGATAAAACGGTTAAAATAAAACCTGTAAAATAGTTGAAAAAAATACAAATAGACATTTTTAATAACAAAAAACAAATAGGACACCTACTATAAATTCTCAAATATAATTTTGTTTTTTCAAGTTCCTATTTGAATAGGTCTCCTTTTGAGGAACGAGAATAAAAATTTTCATTCCTTTGAATAATGTTTACTATAATGTAAAAATGAAATCAATGGGTGGAATTCACGTTTATTTAATAATTGACGTAAGATATATAACTTTTTTATTAGTTATTTTACAAGTTTACTCTTGATTTCTACTTTGTTTTTTAGACACCTTTCTTTATTTCTACTATCAATAATTTTTTCTTCTAATAAAAATAATTTTATTATACTAATCTTTTTTTAAGTACATGTGATTTTTTAATGAAAATTTCTATTTCATTAGTTAGCTATTTAATTTTAATTAGTTATTATCTAATATTTAATTTGTTAAAATAAAATATTGTTATCATAGACAATTAAAAAGTTTAATCTATATCTTCTACTAATAATTTTTCTTCTGAAAAAAAAAAATTTCTTTAGTTGATTAGACACCTTTCTTTATTTCTACTATCAATAATTTTTTCTTCTAATAAAAATAATTTTATTATACTAATCTTTTTTTAAGTACATGTGATTTTTTAATGAAAATTTCTATTTCATTAGTTAGCTATTTAATTTTAATTAGTTATTATCTAATATTTAATTTGTTAAAATAAAATATTGTTATCATATACAATTAAAAAGTTTAATCTATATCTTCTACTAATAATTTTTCTTCTGAAAAAAAAAAATTTCTTTAGTTGATGTAATTTTATTATAAAATTATATTTAATTTTACTTTATCATTATTAGTTAATATGACTAAAATTGTTAACATAGAATGCATCCATATTAAATATTATAACAATAATATTCTATATTAATAATGGTTATTCTAATAAAAATCAAATCAAATATTTTTATTTGATGGAATCTTATTTTAATTAGTTATTATTTATCAATATTAAACAAATTGTCAAATAAAAAAACATTACTATTAAATAAAATATTAATAAAATAAGTTAAAATTTGTTATTGTTTTAACGGGAAATAGTATTAACACACCATTTAACTAATGTATCTGTAATTAGTTAGAAACAAGAAATAAGTATTGTAGTACAATTCCATAAACTTTTAATAGCCAACATGAATTAGGTTTTTGATTTCGATTTCATAAAATTTCTAGTAAATAAAATTAAAGAAATAACACTTTTAACTTGGTTGGTTTTGTTTAGATCGGTTTTTGTTTCAATTTCTTATTATTTCGATTTCTTTTATAAGAATTATTTCGATTCTCGGCAAGTAAACATTACGTTTAACCATGTTTAATTTCCCCCTAAGTTTTTCCTTTTTGTTTTCACTGTACTTCTTTATGTCAAATACTTTTGGTTGCCATTTTAGAATTGCACAGAACTTTGATCCACGGTTTGCATTTTCTACATCAACGTTCTACTATCCTACTATGAGAATCAAAATTACGTTGATTAATAATCCACATACTCTATAAATAACTTACATAATTTTTGTATAAGTAGTTCATAAATCATGCATGAAAATAAATTACGAAATTTTTTCTATAAATAATCTATTATATATACCCTACAAGTGAATTACAAAACTTTTGAAACTTCTCATTTTTTAATTTAGAACCGTATATAGGTTTTTGTAAAATTGATCGTTCCCGAAAAATTAAATTAAAAAATTCAATAGCCTTTAATATGATATGTGCTATAAATAATTTAGAAATCAAATCAAACACATCATATCAAATATCATTTAACATTCATGTCACGTGACTAATATGCACCCAATAATTGTTGTCAATATTTGGCCGCAGTAGGGTACTATCTCATACTATACACTAACAATGTCTCTAATAGCTATCAAATTCATCCCCATCGACAGGTCATAGTTTTTGTATGATCTTCTCTCTATATACATGAGGAAGGAATGAAAGTATGCTCTTTAATATATCGTCAAACTCAAGACTTAAACTGACTCAACCATCATGAGTAGCTTATTAATCCAAAATGACTAGGGTTAATTAAGAGGGAATGTGTTGAAATCCCAATAATGACCACCTACCTTAAGAATTAGTAATTTCTATGTGTTTTYCARYATCAAATGTTG